TTGATCTCGAAGTTGAGCGTCCACGGAATCCTTCATCCTGTTTAACAATACTCTGTTGAAGACTTTTCCTGGTATTGAGAGGAGAGTGATGCCTCTGTAGTTGTCGCACTTGCTCAGATCGCCTTTCTTTGGTATCTTGATGAGAAGTCCTTCTTTCCAGTCTGTTGGTACATGTTCTTCGTCCCAAATCTTACCGAAGAGGATGTGGAGTATCTTGGCAGTTGCTGTTACATTTGCTTTCAGTGCCTCTGCCGGGATGTTGTCTAGTCCCGCTGCTTTGCCACTCTTGATTTGTCTAATGGCCATGCTGATCTCTTCAATTGTTGGTGGGCCAATATCGATTGGGAGGTCTGTGGGTGCTGCTTCGATGTTGGGTGGGTTCAGTGGAGCTGGTCGATTCAAGATTTCTTTGAAGTGTTCTACCCACCTGTTTCGTTGTTCTTCAATATCGTTGATTACTTTGCCTTCCTTGTTTTTCACTGGTCTTTCTGGTTGACGGTAATTTCCAGCAAGTTTCTTTGTTGTATCATACAGTTGTCTCATGTTTCCCTCTCTTGCAGCCTTTTCCGCTGTCATCGCTAAATCTTCCACATATTTACGTCGGTCGGTCCTGATGCTCCTCTTCACTTGCTTGTTTGCCTCTGTGTATTCGGCTTGTGCCTTGGCTTTTTCTGCTCTTGTTCGGCTGATATTGATTGCTACCTTCTTGTTCCTCCTTGCTTCAATTTTATCCAGTGTACCAACAGTGATCCATTCCTTGTGATGGTGCTTCTTTTGGCCCAGAACCTCCTGACATGTTGAAACGATTGCCTCCTTGATACCTTTCCAGCTGCTCTCTATGGTGGTTCCCTCTTCATTGAGTAGGTTATGAAAGGCCTGGAACCTGTTGCTGAGGGCTATGTTAAATTCGTTGAGTTTGTCAGCATCTCGAAGAAAGGCCGTGTTAAACTTTTGTGATGTTGTCCGCGCCATTGTCCACTGCTTCTTTAGTTTTAGTTTCATCTTGGCGACCAGCAAATGGTGATCGGATGCTATATCAGCTCCTCTCCTGGTTCTCACATCCTCCATCGTCCTCCTGAACTTTTTGTTGATGCAGACATGGTCGATTTGATTCTGTGTAGTGTGATCCGGTGAAATCCAAGTGGCTTTGTGTATGTTTTTGTGTGGGAATATGGTGCCACCTATGACCAGTTTATTGAAGGCACATAGGTTTGCAAATCTCTCACCGTTTTCGTTCCTTCCTCCCAGTCCATGTTGTCCCATGACGTCTTCGTATCCAGTGTTGTCCTTTCCAACCTTGGCATTGAAATCTCCCATTAGAATGGTCAGGTCCTTGGTTGGGCACTTCTCAAAGATTGACTGCAGCCTATCGTAGAATTGGTTTTTAGCGTCTTCATCGTAGTCGTTGGTCGGCGCATAGCATTGGATGACGTTCATTGTAATGCCCTCTCTCCTTGTTCTGAAGGAAGCTTTGATGATCCTTGGTCCATGAGATTCCCATCCTATAAGTGCATTTTGTGCTTTTCTGGACAGCATCAATGCAACTCCTTGTGTATGTGGGGCATTTTCTTCTTCATGACCGGAGTATAACAGAAGTTCTCCTGAAGACAGTCGTTGTTGTCCAACCTGCGTACAATGTGTTTCACTGATTCCAAGAACCTCCAGGTTGTATTTCCTCATTTCCGCAGAAATTTGGAAGACTCTTCCGGTCTCCCACATTGTCCGGACATTCCATGTACCTATAAAAATTGTCGCTCTGGTTGTAAGAAGGTGCATCGGCCTCATGACTTCCGAAGGAACTCGGCTTTCATCATGAGACGTCATTTTTCCTTCTACTCCCAGGGCAGAGTTTGAATGGTTTGAATGAATTTTTCTGGTTAGCGTTTTTTTAGCGAGTTGATTTTCTACGGGATGGGGTCGCTAACCCCATGCCCAACCCTCCTCCTTTACCCGGGCTTGGGACCGGCAGTAGCCCCTGGAGGAGCTACAGGCGGAGACATTTATGGTCGAATATCAATAACCTACGAATATTCTCCACTTCAACCAGTCATGTTTCACAGCCATAAGGTAGGATGGAACGAACTGCTGCACAGTGAACCCGTCCTTTGGTTGCCTAAGCTATAAATGACGCATGTTAGCAAAAGCTAGTCGAGCATTCTGCATCCGTGCTGACATTTAGTCACACACCAGACCACAAGGGCTGATGAGACTCCCAAGATAAGTAAGCGGTCGACACGCTCAACTAGTTCGCTCCCTATCATTAGTTCAGATGCCGATGCAACCCAATTCTGAGGCAACATTTCGCGTTTCGAGGGGCAGAATCGCATCTCGAACATGCCTGCATTGTTTCTTATAGTAGTCAAAAGACTGCATTTTGTCAGCGTCTTCACCAAATAGAACTATGTCATCGGCATATTCTAAGTCAACAAGTGAGTCTCCCGGTAAAAGTTCAACTCCTGGAGATTTAGATTAAAAAAGTGTTATCTCTAAAAGCACGTCAACGACAAAGTTAAACAAGAATGGAGAGTCCTGACAAACACCACTTGAGGTAATCAATTCTGATGACAGTTTGCCATAAGCTCTAACTCGACCAGTTGTATTCGAGTAGAGAACCTGTATAAGGTTAATGTACTTCATTGATACTCCTTTCAGTAACAAACACTGCCACAAAACCTAACGATCAACGGAGTTAAATGCTGCATTAAGGTCGAGAAATACTATTATTGTGGGACGTCCGAATGTGTGTCTATGTTCTAGGATCTGACGTAGTGTGAATGTCTGGTCTATACAACCAAGTCGAGGTCGGGAACCAGCCTGGATTTTTCAAGTTTGCTCTTCACGAGGTTTAGTTAGGCATCGAAGTATTATTGAAGCTAATATTTTAGACACTATATTAGTCAAACTGATACCTCTGTGATTGTCACAAGAGGACTTTTGTCTTTTCTTATAGACTGAGACCAGTCAGAGGGAATTACGTCCAGTACCCAGATCCTAAGACCTCAGTCAATCTTGCTGCAAATACTAGACCGCCATCCTTAAAAACCTCAGGGCTGAACCTGTCAGGGCCTTCTGTTATCCCTATCTTTCCGAGTCCTTACTGTTCCGTTCAGTCGGACAACGCATAAACAACTGTCTACTGGGATTTAATCAAAAAGAGCTAGTTCTGCCCTAGGACTCAATGCTGTACCCACGCCAGAGAGGCCACAGAAGCAGCATCATGGCTTTCAGATACACGAAGCGTGTATCGAGTTGGTTCTTTATTTTGATATGGTGAGGTCAAATGAATGACACTACTCGGGTCCTGTATGCGCGTTTTGGAGACGCAGCACATATCGGTGGTGTGAGATCCTAAAGTCCTAGCTAAGGAAGCCTGTTGTCCTATTTGGCACAGTGTTCGGAGGTTAAAAGCTCTTACATGTAGTTTGGAGCGTGGTTTCAGGAAACCAGGAATAACGTCCCGTGTGCTCGAATAGTTTGCATTAGCGGCGCGAGGTGATAATGAAACTTGAGAAGGGTTGGTCGTGGAGATAAGACAGTTATTAGGTGTAAGAAGGATTTGAATGTGACCAACTTGGTATTGTGTGTTGTACGGGTATGAGGGCTGATATCACTTACCGGCTACAGAGCCCAATGGACAATTGCTTGAGGCCGGTCACGCACGGTCTTTTTGTGGGAAGTTTCTAACGTGTTAGTTCCATCCTTCAAAAGGCTTTACCGCCGGAGACAGAAATCCGTGAGGTATGACATATTTAGGGTTGACCTTTCCTGACCCCTTTCTCCCTCGTGAGAAGGCAGCACCACTGCAAATGCTGGTTGTCTGAGGGAAACACCTTATTACTGCCTCACCCCTCTACAGTCAGCAGTACGACTTCGCCTGCAGACCTTGGGTCGCCGCTTTTAGTCTTACCGTTCTCCAATCAACCTGACTGGTACGGTAGAACCTACAGGAACATATGTTCCAACCAATATAGCCCGGTTTGGTCAACACGATAGGCAAGCCCAACCACCACGTCAAGGTAGCAGCTACTGTCGGGATCATCATAATGACAAGACACACATAAATTAGACAGAACTGTTCAGTCTGAACTCACCGGAGTGAGCTACATACAAAATTGGTATTGTCCGAACGTTCGTGAAGTATAGTCATATTACTTATGTGCAAAGTGTGTTAATCTATTCAGTTAGAAACCTACTCTGCTGTATAGCTAATTCGTCTTCTCATATCTGTTCATTCGACAATTACGTCAGTAATCTGGTCTCATGAGAAGAAATCATCCTGCTACATCGTGTCACTGCACATCACTTGTCTATCAGTGTTCTGTTCTGATAACCAGAAGCCTTGTTCATTTATCGCTAAATCCTCCTTCATAACACGATGATTATCTTAAATTCCTTCTCTACAATTCCGCTCTGGCAATGGTATCACATTCCCAAATAGCACTAAAAAACTAGTATTCACTTTGCAGATACGACATAACCACGCTAGAACACCAAACGTTTGGACCCATCTTCACGACCACACAAACCGTTACAGTTAGTCTGATGAAATGACAGCCTCTGTTAACATCCACCAACCCACACAATGGACGCTTGTGGAACTAACTATACTTGGAGCACACACATCAAGTCTGTAATAAACATGCATATAATGAGAATCAATGTCCTAAAGCAAAACACTCATCTGATGTACATGCATAAGCAGCTTATGAGGGTAATAACTTATATTCAATGCTGAACTAACAACAATGGGTCAAGGCACCATGGCACACCGAAACTACGTTCTAATCAAATTAGATAATAACAAGACTGTTTGGACTGTGACAATATCAGATAGTATAATTTCCAAATCATTTACCTTAATCGTATGCAATGCACTCTCACTACACTAATAATTTTGATCAGTGGTTTCATTTCATAGAATGAACCTACACAGTGAACTGATAATCACCCATACAATCGAGAATGAGCTTAATTTACACAGTGGAGCTCACAAACATATATACAATAAAAGTAACGTTTATTGACAATGCTAACATAATTAACAAATGGCTAACGTCAGAAATGATAAGTAGTCAATGAGATAAAATAAGAATCTATATTCATAATTGAACTTTATTAACTAGGTATTTCGAAGTATGACATTGCATAACTAGCTACAGTCTATTATTTAATAGGACGATATTTCAGTACTTAAGGTCAGTCGGAAAAATAAACTACATTTAATAGTAGAAAGGGAGGAATTAAGAAAGAATACTTTTTACAGAAGTAGTGTTTAAGCTTGAAAGAGTGTGTGAACAGGTACGTCAAGATCTTCTATCCTTTTACGTCCACCCAAACCTTTCAGTTCCACAAACAACAAACTGGATAGGATTCTAGCTCCAGATAAGTTTATTAATTTTACACCAGCTTCAAGGCTTCCACCAGTGGCCAAAACATCATCAAAAAGAACTACATTATCATCAGGTTTGAGAACATCCTTTTGAATTTCTACAACGCTCTGTAGGTACAAATAGATTGAGAAAATACAGTATATGCTTCAAGATTGTGTTGAATATTAATAAAAGCATTCATTAAGATTGCAGCTCATGTATAGATAAATGATTTTGTTTGATTTTACTTATCACAAATGAGATCATATCTGCACTGCAAATAACTGTTTATACTTCAGCATTTAGTTTGTTAATTTTGAAATACACTGAAGAACTCAAGATCGGTTTTTCATGGATGACAACTGAACATCAGTGACTGTAAATTTGGTGATTCCAATACTTATACAGTAACAATGATGAGATGCCAGAAATTTGTTTTGGATCCCCAGACTTACTATTGCCGAGAAACTAAACACAGAGCCAAGCAACTATGGCTGGCTAATGAGTTCGATTAGTAAAAGTAGGCACAAGTCACTTATAACTGACTTAAGTATATATACTCAATTGATATACAGAATACTAAGAAATGATTTTGGACCTAATATATCCACTCTTTTTCTTCCCACTAGATCGAGACATCTCAGAGAACATAGCAGGTGAATAGAAAAGCCAAGAACGAACAAAATACCTGTGACATAGTTTTTCACACTGATTCATCAATTCTTGGAACCTGTTACCAGAAGCAGTGGTGTCCGCACCTTCGATTACCTCACTCAAGAGAAGACTAGACACTCATAGAAGCATTGTATAAAAAGAACAACAGACTGTGGGCCTTCTGTCTTTACTACAAAAATCTGAATCTGATCCACCTATGCGGCTTTGGTTTCATAAATAATAATCCTTATGTTACAAAGCATCGATATAAACTTACACTTCCATATTCCAATTCGTATTTATAAGAGAAACAAGGACCTGGGAGTTTTCCTGCTTTCCGAATAGGGACGAAAGAACAGTTCAGACGAAGGGCAAGTGCTGGTCCAAGTAAAAAACCACGTGACTCGAGACCCACAACAACGTTGATTTTCTAACGTACAATAAATCGAGCGCAACGCAGCTTACTGTAAATTTACGCTCTATCTCGGATGTAGCCACATAATATAACTCATCCAATAGATATTGAGTTAAAACAGGGTTTCTGAAAACGCCAAAAAAGTCCCTTTATTAGTTTAAGCACACATTAATGTGTATGGAAAAGTACCAGAAAATAATGCCCTGTTTTGGGAAATCTGGTATAATCCCGACAGCTGACTTAATGGCTTTTAGCCTAGACTCACGATCAGATGACTTCGGCAACGACCCAGTGGCTTCGTTCATTGATGCAGGTTACTGAACACTTAAAGGTCAAACAGTCGTAAAACGATTGGTACATCGCCACGACAATCCATAGATATTTGCAAAATCGGTCAAATCAAAATAACTTTACGTAACGCGTGAGGTGAATTTAAATCCAACGTTTCCAAGTAAACCTAATGTATCGCTCAATTTAATAACGGTCTTGTTCACGTTCATGTAGTCATTGAATTTGTTATATTATGATTTATTTTTTATTAATCAAGTATATTATGCCGTGAGTTTTGCTCTGGTTGCCAAAATGACTACCACTATTGCGAAATCGAGTTGTGGTAAACTTCAACCTAACGCGTGCTATTGGTGTTTATTTGCAAGAAGGAAAGAGATCTAAAAACCATAGCGTACAAGTCAGCGTCAGTGTAAGTTTCACATTACTAAGGGCCGATCGAATCCAGAAGTGTAGAGGATGAGTGGCAAATAACCCCCGAAATAAACAGTTCTGTAAGTCCTCGACATTTGGTGCTGACTCCATTGGTTTCAATGCACACATATGGCTGAAGACGCTCGTTCACGCATTCGTATCAGATCACGAGTGGATAAGCCGTGCTACGCATCTCCTACAACCGTTAACGAGTTTAGATTAAACGCTTCCTGATATACTGATAGCTTATAAAATATATCTTCGAACCTCCTCACTTCTGACTCCTGATTTGACTGGAGTGACATACTTCGATTATAAAGGTGTCGCGTGTAAAGGCGTTGCCAAAACTCCGAGCATCAGTGGCATATTGGTTCCCCTATTTTGAGGGGAATTTTCCTCGTTTTGGGTAATTTTTGGGGAAGCCGCAATAAAAAAATTGGGGGAAATCCTGCGAAAATTACACAAAAACCCCAAACGTCTTGAATTTTCCCCAATATTTCTTCAGAATCTTACAACACTTTGGGGATTTTCCCCAAACGTTGAGAAAAACTAACAAACTTTTCACAAATTTGAAGAAAACCCCTAAATTGGGAGGTCGTGATCTTTAATCCTATTTACCGTTGTTGATAAAATATCCCCAGAAAATGAAACGTGTGAAATGATTAATTGTCGCTTGAAATACGAAGGACAATGGTTTCTGATTCTTTTGGTCAACCACAGTTCAAACTGTGGAGTGTAGTGGCAGTGAAATGTCACTGGGCCCTATTCAAATGATCTGGCAGTTGGGCCATTGATTATCTATCCTTTTCAAAGTCAAAGACAACCGACGCGCATCAGTTAATCGTATATCATGGACCGGCGCGTGTGATGGTGATCTCGCCATCTTCTCTGTACTTATTCATACCAATATATTTCCATAATAGCGTCCTTCGTGTTATATGGTCTTCAATGAAGCCATAGTACTTTAATACGTTGAATTTGTGATCCGTGTTAGATTCTAACCGCGAGATGTGACTACGAAGTTAGCTAATTTTTCACACCGTCAAGCTCGAGTAGGCCTTAAATCACTCCACAGAGGTCATCTACGTTGATATTCAACACTGGTGATTAAGACCTAGAATAACACAACCTAACATCATAATCTTTATTATTACATCTCGTACTAATTCTTTTTCATTTTTATCGTCGCCTATGTTAGTCAATTACTGGGAACATTCGTTGCTTCATATTAGTGTTCATTGGTATTTAAACTTAAATAATTAGTTCAGTTGATAGAACTAACGAATCAACTAGGACTATAATCGGTTATCGTGGTTCTTTTACAAACATTTGCAGCATGTAAATGCTCGTGTGTAATATATCTGTTACAATATCGACCACTCGTAAAAATAGCCACAAGGCAGCACGAACGCACAACTTTTTGTAATTTATCCGCTTGTATACATTAATTGTCGATTGTGAATTCATCATTCTGCTCAATCACTATCAACCACTTTCCTTCAGAAATTATCCACTAGAATTTTTTAGTTACTTGACCACTGCCTGCCTAATTGCCAGTACCTGAGTTCCATAGCCAAATTTCCTGCAATGTTGGATCACGTTTAGACTATTCGTCAGGCAATGGTACGTATTTAGCTTAAATTACTTTTAGGCTTATACAAGTTCAGTCTACAACGCTGTGTTGATCCAAAAATTTAATCAACAGCACCTCGTATATAATGCAGATTCGAACTACTGTCTACTTCAAATTTTAATTACTTGGAAGCCAGAGTCACCCAGGTGAGTTTCGTAACTGCACTAAATTGTTTCGCACTGTGTTTATGATACCTAGTAACATTTCGTAGTTAATTACACGTAGAACGGTCATATATTTGGTCACTGCCGTCAGGTTTTAACCGAAACCGTGTACATTTAAGACTCGTAAGTCGACATGCTGTGGATAAACGTATTGTATGTTCACGAGCGATCCTAGTCCATGTCCTAACCAGACACTTTGTTGAACGCAATATATCACGTAACGCTAGGTAATAAGCTCTTCGTATTAGCTTTTTACGAAATGGCCATGTTATCTGAACCTTCTAAATTTCAGTTACATTGGTGGTTATCATTTTAATTAATGTTTACTATGCGCTTTATATTTGCTGTTACCTCACACCGTAAATCATGGCTCGAATTCCCTATTACACGAAAGTCATTTTACTTCCGTTTTTGGTCTATTCACATGCAATATGAGTTGGGAAAACATCTAAACAACCTCTGAAACTTTCCACGAACCCCACCATAGCCTTAGTATATGTTTTTGTTCACACATCCAACTGTTACACTAACAATATACAAACAAACGTTCAGTTTAACAATCAGTATACGTAAGAACGGTGTTATTTCGATTTGGCGTTATAACACATCCGAACTATTATGGTTAACCAACTTCAACGTCGTTCTGTGTTTCGTGAAGTATTGTCTCCTCGCGGCTGTTATCTAACAAATGATTTCGGTACATCAGTTGGATGTTCAAATACTTGACGACTCGGAACCTGTCCAGTCCAATGGGTGGTTTTACGATACTATCATTCGTACAAATCACCGGTCTACATAATGGACCGAATCCCCTGCAGAATGAAAAAGATATTTTCGCATTCATCTCAACACTAACAGTGTTTCTCACCGGTATTATTGACATGAATCCAGAGTTACACTGTTGGTTCTTTACTTTCTCTTTGATGATATTCGGTTCAGTTATTGAACTTATACACATAACTCACCATTTACCATCCTATTTAGAAGAATTCATCGCGTTACTATCACTCTCGATCTGTAGTCTAAGACCCATACTGATTATAACGGCAATCATTGACTTTTCAAACTTTAACTACAAACTGATCAGTAGCTTCATACAACGAAATCACTTCTCTTCACAGTTACATTTCTGTACTTACACCTAATTTGTTAAATGTAGATATAACCAGAATTCCACAATTATGAACAGAAACTGTCAACGACACTGTCTGACTTTACGCCTTAAACCAATGGTAGTATAAACATCGGCATCGACTGACATTACATTTATCCCACTATCACTATATAATCATCAATCTTGCGGAAAACTTAACGTTTCTCATTTGATGAAATCAATCACTTGTCAAGGCTATTTATTTCAACGCGACTTGATAGAACTTTAAAACCTTATCTTTTCTGTTGTTTCTATGGTTAATCGCTTTACATCCAACCAGCGTTCTAGCAATTTATTATTACTTGCTGTTTCCCGGCCAGTTTCTGCCACTTCCTTTCCATTCGTCTTACAGCTCAGCAATACCCTGAGGATTCATAATAATCGTTTGGCAACCTCCGGCGCGTGACTACTCCCAAAATATTTGGCAAAGATTCAGACGGCCGTTGAATCTGGTGACGGAGTATTGTAGGGGCCAAATCAACCGGCATTGGGGTCACTGAATGTCAAGCATTTCATCCATATCCGTCAAAGTCAAGAACGACCAACGCGTAGCAGTTAATCGTATGCCATGGACTGGCCCATGATGTGGTGGTCGCACTTTCACTTGCACCTACTCTAACAAATGTATATCTGTAATAACATCCTTTGTGTTATACGTATGCTCAGTAGTCTCGCCTGCTAACTTTGGCATGATCTCGGTATTCTTTCAATCCCACGAGATTGCCAACAAACACGTCTTACAACAACCTTCAACTGCCTCCTGATGTTTGACTTTCGGAGGCGTCTAACCTAGCAACTGTTACGTAGTCACCCTGTGGTGGTGATCATAGTCAACCACGACTCGACGTCCACTACACCCTCTTTTAGCTCCTGGATATAAAATGGGTAACTTCGTCCTGCACCATCATTGATTCCTCAGATGTCCCAGAGAGATATAAGGTCACGGTGTATAGAAGCTCTCAAATTTAGGTGGATTTACTACCGACTGACAGTTACACATCGCAACATAACTTCCATAAAGCGCGCCAACTGTCATATTGGCAATACGGATCTTACTAATATTATTCACATTCATATATTGGAAGTGTTACTTTGTGATCAGTGTACCTTATCAAATATCAAACTCGCTGGATAACCCACCGCAATGAAGACTGTATAGTCTGTAACACTTTGATCTTGCGTGTAAACCAGCATGCCTCATGTAGCGGACTGTTATTTGAGAATAAATCACCCAACACAGGTCATTTATGTTATTGATTTACAGGCTCACAACCAAAGATGCCACAAGCATACGGAGTCCTGACAACGAATTAACCAGTAACACCTTTAAAATTGTAATATGCCAACCCAGTCAAATCAGAAGACAGGAGTGAAGGAGTTTGAAGATATATTTGGAAGGCTACCAGTATTTCAAATAAACGTTTGGTCTAGGCTGGCTAATAATTCAAGTGAATGTGTAGCACGGCGTACCCACTCGTGATCTGGTATGGATGCGTGACTCAGTGCCTCCAGCTAGATTATTCCAGTAAAACTAATGTGGTCAGCACTACATGCTAAAGACTTGCAGAACTAAATATTTTGGGGACTAATTCACCTCTAGAGATTCAACCACCATCCTGGTCATATTGATAATCAAACAAGGTTTATTCATCGTGCTTGGATCCTATGTCCTTGTACTTCAACATTCAACGGTCAACTTTCATTAATCAATCTCTTTAGAAGAATTTAATCTTCATAAAAGTGTACAACCACAGTAAAGACTATTACGTTTCTGTTTGTACTGCGCACTGATACTCGCTAGTGTGTACATATTTTTTGAATTCTCTGTTAACAGTAAACTCGTTGTTCCATTTCCAAATTGTATCACATGAGATTCTAGGTGTCTATCTGCCCGTTGTGATCATTT